CCCGAGTCACATGATCCGCTAAATGTAGGGTGGGCCGGTGGGTGGAGGCTTCATAAGCAAAAGGGAAGACAATATACTCTAAGCTTTAACAGCATGCATCGAATTACACGGGGCCCCTCCGGGGAGGTTTCCGACGCGTCCGCTCTCAGTCAGCCCGCTCTCCCTCTCTCCCCCTCCCGCTGCGCAGCGAGGAGCCCCGGGCTGGGGTGAGCACCGGAGCACCTCCCCGTTTAAAGGGGACGGAGACGAAGGTGTGCACTGAGGAGGGGAAACAGCTTCATGTTTCAACTCTGTTTGATTTACAACATGTATGTTTTGACATGTGATACATTTCTTATATCAATAAGTGATAAAGCGTAGATTTGGAAGTTTTGTTTGGTGTTAATTAACAGTGGGTTTTTTTTGTAAGTAGCCTACTATGATACAAATCACTTCTTAGAATACATTATTTTAAAATGAGTAAAAATGTTTGATTGATTAATCATTATCTGATCATATTTTTGTGATTTCTTTTGATGAACTCAATTTCAAGCAAAAATGCCAATCATATGAGCATATGAGCTTCTCAAAACGTGGAGATTTGCACTTTTTCATTTACATCTGACAGTAAACTTAACTTTAAATTAGCTTTATGAGTACATTTGGATTGGATGGTCTTTAAAAAGTGCCACTTTTGACTTAAAATTGGGACCTTTCGGATTGCGATTGGTTGTTTTATAGTCCATGCATGAATTGATTAATTGGATTATTATTTTTTATTTTATTTTATAATTAATAGCAGGGTTCTTCATTTTTAGAGTTCAAGCATAAGTATGAAACATTCTTTATTAATAACAAGTTAAATCATGTGTCTTTGAAAGAACATCTTATGGTTGAAGTACTTTTTTCAACATCATTGTTAATAAACCTTTATTAACAAAGTTCGCAGGAAACAGTGATAATACATAAAATGCAGGACACCAAAATGTTGTTTTTTAATCAACAAATAAAGAGCTTGGTTGATTGTATCAGTTATTTTCTAGATCAATTGTTTGAACATTGATAAATTATCAACAGTTGTAACATTGTCGTAAATTAATCTAAAGATTTGTTATTTTATTTAGTTAGTCCATCATTTAACCAATCAACGTTGCAGCTCAAACTGCTTAACTCCATAAGTCTCACCAGATATTAGTTTTCATGAATCATACATCTTTCATTTCTCTCCTCTCAGCTGGATTTTTACTTCCTGTTCCTGCTGCAGAGAGCCACTTCTCTGCCTGATGTTTAAGTGAGCAGCCCTGAATACCATATGGGAACATTTCCCCGTAATGACTGCTTTTAAATCCTCTTCTGTATAGAGCCTGAGCCGCTGCACCCATGTCAGTGTTCATGAAAGGTATCTCTGTGGTATGATGGCGAGGCTGATGCTGATGCTGCAGAGTCCCCTGGGAGCTCTAATTAAGGTAAAGGAAGCAGGACTCATCTGCATGGCTGATGGAGCTCACAGCGCTCTTTATCATTATGGAGCTGCACGGAGAGGCCTGATTGAGTGAACCAGAGAGGGGGAGAGAGAAAAAGAAAGAAAGAAAAAACATATTTACAGTAGTCGACTGGTCCTGGTCCAACTCTTACCCACTTAATATTCATTCTGTTTCACTTCAGATACTGTATGTCTTCTGTTTGCAGTGAATAGAGGATGAAATGGTCGGGTGGAGACGAGAGGATGGAACCAAAGGGATGGAGATTAATAAGGTTGGATTGGCTGGATAAAGGGACGGATTGGTGAATGTATGCGGGTGAATTAAGAAGTGTATTTTGTGGCTGTTTGAATGGGAGGGGCTCCATTTGTTCAATGGGAGGAGGGGACGGTTGGATGAATGGATGGATGGATTGAATCATGAATATGGCAGTGGTCTAAATTCTAATGGGATATAATTGCACACTTGTTAAAAGGAGGGTTTGATCTTGCTCTGAATGTGTTTTTAACCATTTTGATAAAGATTTTTATAAAAACATTTGTCGTTTTTTTATGCGCAATGTCTTTACATATCATTATCCTAAGGCTATATGTGTAAAATATGAGCTGAAACAAGTGTGATTGAGAGTTTTGCATCAGTTTCACCCCTTCTGTTATCGAATGGGGTGAAATAAGGCTGTGTTACTATCGACGGTGAACCTCCAAAATAAGCCTTTTTTTGTGTGTGGTTTCCATGACACCTACTACAATACCCGTAAGCACAGCCACCTACCAACCAAACACAGCATAAGAACAGCTCTCAGGGTGGAAAAAAAACAACAAATAGATCTGTGCTTGAGTGAATTTTAACTGCTGCTGAATATTCACAGTGGAATAAAGCACAAAAACACTGTGGTATGAAAGGTTGTGTGATACGTTTGTTTTCACCAGACACAGAGAATTTAAGCAATGTTAAACTCTCTGTATATCTGTATAGAAATCTCTGTAAACAGACAAGATCGGAGTCTTGAAAAATACAAAATTGTGATAATCCACATGTCATCTTTAATGTGCATCTGTGCCTATGTTTAAGGGGAAGCTTTACAGGTCTGTAATATTCGATATGAGTTGATATCCAACCTCGTATTCTTGCATTTTCCACCTGACTAAGTAATGAACGAGTAAACATGCGTCTCCTTCTTTTAAATACACAGATTCCCTTATAAGGGTCAGTTATGCAAATAAATTCAAATTAAATAAACACACAGCTTTGTTTCTCTCACTGTATGTAGAAGCCTGAAAACCTGTGAAGTCATACCTGCAATCGTGTGCTATAGCTGACTCTGGTAATGTTGTACAGACTGTATTATTTTATTAGAATTAATGATGGATCAGCCCATCCTGTATCCTTTTTGAAAATATTATGGATATTTGACAGACCCTTAAACTTTTACAGTGTGTTGGATCATTTCAGGTACATGTCATGTTTTGTGCAGTGTCTGTAATGCCGTTTTTTAAAGGTCCCATATAATGCAAAATACGCTTTGCCATATTTTTATGAGGACACTTTTATGTGTCTGTCTACAAACCCCACAATTATTAAAACAAAAACAAAAAACATCCTCTCTTTTTGCCTTCTCCACTTTTCAGGAAATGTGTGCTCAAACAGGCCGTTTGTGACATCACAAAGGGAAGTAACCCCTCCCCCAGGTGGATGACACTCCAACTGCTAGGTGTTTGTTCTGCCCTCTGAGTCTGCCTTCTCACCGTTAATAATCTGGTATGGTGCAAGAAAGCCCCAGCCACATCCCCTTCCAGAGAGGGGCGTGGTCAAACACAGCTGACTTGCGTTTAAAACTATAGATGAAGAAACTGCCTGTTCTGGCCAGAGCTGAAGTAGAGGGGTTTATAGGCATGACAAAATACAGGATCAGAGTTGATTTTGAGCAAGAACCTTTAAAGACATGTTTTGGGGAGCTCTTATTTAAACTGGTTGAAAAATAGGATAATATGTGACATTTAATGAGCAGATAAAAGAGGAACATGTAGCTAATAAAATCTTACATATTGCAAGAAAAGCAAAAAGAAATCCTCATGTTATGTATCGCTGACTAACTGAAGGTGATGTAGCTGAAGCTGCGTGAGAATATCAAGACCGTGTGCACATTGTGGCCAATGCAGGTGATGCAACATGTTGTATTGGTTGCAGAGAACAATCACACTTCTTTGAGTGTCAGACCAGTACAGCATAAAACTTTTATTACTTTATTTGAATGGAGTTTTTAGGTACTGTATGTAAAATTTACATCAATTTTAATTGTCTGAAAATGTTTAGCTTTTACTTTTTACATGTTAACCCAATTACCTGTTTGTTTCTTTTCTTACATTTTCACAAGAGGAGTGTTAATCTATCTTTGAAGCTTCCGAGGGGAATCATTGAATGTTTTGCATCAACGCGTGTCTCCTACCCAAACATCAAGAATACATTTAACCTTAAAGGATGTGATAATAACGTAAAAACAATAATTTCTTCCCGCATCAGTAACAAGCGCAACAATTACAGAAGATGTAACGCATAGAAAAAAATGTAAAAGACCTATCAAGATGAACCAAAAGGAACTCTGCCATGGAGCAGACTCATCATTTTTTAATTATTCTTCTATAATGTTTTTTATTTATTTATTTGATTCAAAATGATTTGGTCAACTCAGTATTTTTTCCTCATGCAGTTTGACAGACTCTGCATGACATATTTAAACTCACAACTTAGTAAATAAAAACTTTGTGAGCATAAATGTGTGTCGAACTTACAGAACATTATTGACTTCTTATTTTCACTACACTATTCTACCACTACGCCTATATGTATAATTTAACTTCACTTCTAAAGCTTTCAATACGTGTGAGGGCGTTAGAAAGTCCATTTAAGACTATAGGTTGATGTAGAAACACATTTTATGCATGAGGGATGAACAACATCTAAGCTGACACACACAGCTTTACAAATTGTGCAGAAAATAATGTAGAACTAGTTCTATCTTTGTCAAGTTTAATATTCTCCTTAGTAAAGTTTGATGTGAGGTTCAGTTAGCATTGCACAAAAACGTCCTGGTGGAAACATCCTTCAGAGGGCAACAATTGACTTTTATACTGTGAGTACATTTCCGAGCCAGCACTTTTTTCACTTTCACTTCACTGAAGGTGTTAAATCAGTACTTCCACTTTAACGCTGAGCTTTAACGCACGTTTCTGTACTTCTACTTTTGCAAATATCATGTGTGCTTCTTCTACCTCTTCTTTTCTTTCACTCTGAACTACTTGCCAACCTATTATCTGTTGCTTTAAACAAGCATTGAATCAACACAATGCTGTATAAACCTCCTACAGCTTTATTTTAGATACGTAGAGTAACTTAACTCATGGTGCCTACACGATGAGAACAGTCATTTACAGATTGAAACAACATTACCAATCTCAGAGACATTCTGATTCGTGTGATGAAAGCGCTGGTTGGTTAATAAGCACTTTGAAGGCATGTGCGTGCATGTGATTGAACACTAATGTTACATCAGCCGTAAGGCCCAGTGATGATCCTCGTAATGACATCCTGAGGAGCTCTTTCAAATGAAGATCCTCGCTGTGTAACTGCTGCCCCAGGAGTGCTGGCATGTG